GCCATTTAAATTTTTTTTGTGTAGAACTCAAAAACAAAAGGAAATTTCGAAAAATTTTATTCTTGTTAAATCATCACATTTTTATAGTACTTTATCAAACCGTTTGGTTCCATACTTTTTATTCACCTGGTATATCGAAAAATTTTATATAAGGGAGCCACATCCCCTGAAATGGGTACATCTTTTCATGGATTTTTTCCAATATTTCAGAAACCATCCTAGATAAAACTACAAAATTTGGTATGCACAACTGACAACCTTTATACACCCAAATGAATTCAAAGAAAAAAGTCGAAATTTTTACTCAGGGGCGTCCTAAACTGGGGGGTTTAGGGTAACAAGTATTTTAATTATTTTGGCTGTTGGTTTTTGCCACTCTCAGCCACTTTTTTCGATAAAACTTACCGTTTTTGAGTAAAATCAGTTTACAATTTGTCTTAAAAATTAAAAATTAAATTAAAGTGATCTTTAAATTCGTTCAGGGTTATCAGCTATACCAATTTTTGTACTTTTATCTATTCTGCAATAGTGGGAAAATCCCATTTCTTTCAGGGGGTGTAGCTCGCTTACGTAACATTTTTTGATACATGTTCATGGGAAACTTTTGTCCTAAAATTGAATATTCCATCACCTGTTTAAGTTTGTAACAATAAAAAGGAAACACCCTGTATTTTTTTTCTTTTTATGAGTATGCTTTTTACTCAGTGCAGTCCGTTTGATGATGTTTCGGTCAGTCTGGTCCAGACAGTGATGTTTGTGTCGTATACGCAATCGTTATCTCCTTACTAGCCCTTTTGGCAGGATAATAAACGCAGGGCCCCGGACTGGAAGCCCTACATCGTCCTCCTTTTTTCTTATCCCTTTCGGAGCCATTCATGCGAGTTGACATGCCATTCCTGCTCATATTCTGTCTATGCAACCTCAAACTTTGTCTATCTCCTCCATTCGACATGAAACTGTCGTCGTGTGTGGCCCCCCCATCCGGAGACTCGCGTCCCGTTCCAAACAGCGAATTATTGCAAAACAACAGCAAGAACAATCGCTTGAATTTCTCACCAAATATCACGTAAATTATAAAATTCACACTCGAATTAATCGTTACTAGTAAGTTACTCGTGTTTACTAGAATCGGCATGTCCCACGAGGGGCGATACGTGTCTATTATGTTCAATACTAAAGGGAGGAGATTGCACACGAAGAAAACGGCCACCACACATAACAACATCGTGGCTAAGCCAATCTCGCGTTTTTGCAGACGGGAAAGACGCTGGCGCTCCTTGTTGGCTTTGCGGACCTGAAAATAATCAAATATTCAACGTAATAGCTAAAAATCGGACTTGAATTAAGGAAGAAAAGTGGAGTAATTAAGTGAAGTTTGAGTAGGAAATTGGATAAAAGATTGGACGAAGCAGGGTTTTTTTTTATTTTTGCTCGACTGCTCGAGTAAATAAACTTTGCGGTTTGATCTATATTAACGTTTTGAGCGGAATTTCTTCGCTGTAAGCCAACATAAATAAAAATCAAAATTGATTAAGTTACAATAATTGATCAAAACAGATAATTTTATAACTGAAAAAACATTTGACAATGTTATTGTAGGGCACCAAGAAATTATCAAACAAAACAAGAGTACCCTTATAAACAAAATTGTTGTTTTGATGTTTTTAATTTGAAGGAAAACAAGTACATATAAAAGGTTTCTTGGAGGTACATACAGAGTGTTAAAAAAAGATTGTAAAATATTTAAGGAGATAATAGTATGGACCAAAACAAACAAAAAAGTTTTCATAAACATGTTTATTAAGATTTTTTCATTTTTGTCTTGTTTTATAACGCAATAAAAACTATAATACAAAAAATATCACACCAGAGTTCTAAAAACATTAAAAATTTGTAAGAATATTAAAAAAAATAAGAAAAATATCGCAACATGAAGTAAGACATATAAACAAAAAAAATATAAAACTTGAAATTGTCAAGTGGATCTTCCAAATTTCTTTATCTTTTTTCATTATCTTCACCTTCATTTTTTTCGACATTCGTAGTTTTTTATCTGCTTTTTTTTAGATAAATAATAAGTTTTTTCTTTATTTTTGTGTTGGCGGATTAATTTTTTTATTATGTCATGACAATTTTTTGATTCTACTTCCGTATATTATTCTCAAATTTCACTTCTTTATTTCTCAATAATTCTTCTCATTTTCTTCAGATTAAGTTTTCAAGTTTTTATTTAATCCAAAACACTTCAAGTGGACTCAAAATTGGTCAAGTCGGTGGCAAAACAAGCAAAACCACGTTTTTTTATTTAAAAATATTAGTCACGATAGTTACAATAAGCCCAAATATGTATAACTAAAACATTTCAAGTAGACGTAAATCCGTTTTTGTTGGTGTCAAAATTAAATAAACAACAAATTTTTCGTTTTATTAATATAATAATAATAACGGTACTAATCATATGTCAAAATATACGTAAAACACTAAACAAAAGAATTTAAACGGACTCAAATTGCACAAAAGGAACTATTTTTGTGTTTTACATTGTAATAAGAGAATAAAATACAAAAACTACACATTATAGGTATACCAGACCAAATTTCTAAAAACTTTAAAAAATCGCAAGAATATAAAAAAGAAAACAAGCATAAGGGCTTTACAACATTTGATAAGTAATATGTAAAACGTATGAACAAAAAAAGAATAAAATTTAGGAAACTGTCAATTAAATCTTTTTTCCTTCATTATATTCATTTGTTTAGTTTTTTTCGACATCCTCAGCTTTTTATCTGATTTTCTCGTTTATATTTTTTTGTTCTTTAAATTGTTTATTTAAATTTTTTCTCAATCCGAAACCGTTACTCTCATGTTTATTAAGACTTTTTTGTTTGTTTTGGTCCATATTGTTACCTGTATACATACAAAAAAAAATTAACAGTTATTCATCTATTTGCATATTTTTTCTCAGAAACTTGTTATTTGAAATGCATTAATAGATTTGTAAATTGTTAACAACTATATTATAACGTAGAAAGTTTCCTTAAATTTTCTCTCTTACCTAGAGACAGAGACCGAGTAATGAATGAATTTTTCATTCTCATTTTTCTTATAAATTTTTTGTTTTACATCTGTGTTTTAACTACACCTACAATTTGTAACTTAAATCTTTTTTATCCATTAATGTGGTAACAAGTGATATTCGTAAATGTCAGAGTGTTTTATTGCTGTTAAAATTTAAATTTGCCATTTTTTTGATAAAATTTTAACGGTTTAAAAGGCTTTCCTGTTTATCTACGCATATTGAATAAAATTATTTACGAAAGAGTGAGGAAAAAATCGCTTCTGTTTGGATTTGCCGGTAAAAGGCACTTAACCCTGCATATGGAGTTAAAACTGGTCGATCAAGATTTAAAATCAGGAAATAAACGTTAAACGTCTCCTCCAACCAACTAAATGATACATAATTCAATTTTTAAATAAATAAATTATGTAGCTAGTGCTCGAATAGACAATAAAAAAGATCGTTGTATCAATGCAGTTGCTTAATTTAATTCTCAAATTCCCCAAGCAATTCTACTTCGTTTCAAGCAAAAATAAACAACTTATTCTGTTTGATTCCGTACTTAAGACGTTGAATAAAACCGCAAGATTCGAGCCACTGACCGGCTGGCTCATCTGTCAGGGGCGGATCCAGGAATTAATTTTGGAGGGGGGCTATCTAAAAAAATTTTAAATGATGAGGGTAGGTATACAGTGAGCGGCAAAATTATAGAATAATCTTATTTATTAAAACTGAAAATATTTTGTTTTGGAAAAATGCTCGAACAGGTCAATTTTTTTTTAACAAATACAAAATTTTTAACTTGATTTAAAATTGTATCTTTGTTTTTTATTGATATTATTTCACTTTTTGGATATTTTTTTTTTAAACTTTATGTAATACATAATATTTTGGTGTTGCCATTTCGACAATTATCTATCGAATTCGCTAAAAAAATAAGAGTTTCCATTAAAAAAAAATGTCGCTGCCGTCATTACCCAAAAACCAAAAGGTGTAGGATTTTAAAACAAGTTGAAAATTGTGTATAAGGTGTTCTAGCGAGTTGGTAAAGTTCATTATTTAAAGAGATATAAACTTAATTTAATTAGATACCTAAGATGTGGCCCAAAGAAAATTACAATTGATGATTTCTTTTTRAWTTAGTAAAAACTAAGGGAGTATCGAGAGATCAAAATAATTTGTCCTTGTATCCGAAAACGTATGTCCTGTGCGTATTTCTGTGAAACGTCAAATAAAATGACAAGTGTAAAGGTAAAATCCCATGATCAAAAAGATAACTAAATTTATGATTTACCTTAAAAAAAGAACGGTCTTATTATTATACGTCGGCGACTAATTCCAGCCCATTTTGCCGTTTTCGACTTGTCATTTTATTTGACATTTCACGTGCAGTTAGTTCAAAAACAGACATACGTACAGTTGGGGAATTGTCACTTTTGTAAACTACCTTTTACTGTCATCATGACTGAAATTTGACAATTAAATTTATTTTTATTTGTTGTTAAATTTGTTAATTAAACAATTTGTCTGTCTTAGGAAATTTATTAAGATCTGCTGCCTACCCGTTATTATGCCACAAATCACTATTTTTGAAAGTAAATAAGTCAAAATGACATAAATACGACAAGAGTAAAAAATGAGGTTATTAATATAAAGGTTGTTTTAGAGTTTACATTATGAAAATGACAGTACTGCGCGAAATTTTAATTCCGAACTGTACGTTTTCGGATCCAAAAATGACTACAAATTATTTTGATCTCTCGGTATATGTATGATTTGTATTAATAAGTGTGATTTAAAAAGAATTCTAATGTTTTTATTTAAAAAACTTTAGGTCATAAGGTTTTTATATTAAAATTTAAATATAAAATATTGAAGCTTTTGGTTGGGGGGGCCCTGGATCCACCCTTGTCATCTGTGTATTTGAAAATATTGATTTAACGTCGATTGTGTTACAATTACCTGTCTGTAAATAGCAGCGTTGAGTATTGCTAGCCCAAGAAAGGGCAAGAGGTACAAAAAAATGAGGTACAACCAATGAATGTAAATTCTTATATAGAGTTCGTTTTCTCGTAACGCCGATGGTCTTGGGCAATACACAGTAACGTTCCTTTCCGGAAACCACTCTTCTTTGATGGTGGATTCCCACAGTTTAGGTAAATTATACATTGCCGAGAAAACGATGATTGCAATGACGTACATGCGCGCCCTTCCGTATGTGCACAACGATCGCGCCCTTAAGGGATGACACACGGCCACAAATCGTTCCAAGGACACAGTCAAGGTCAAATAAACCGATGCAGTTTGCACCACCATAGCTAGGGGAAACACCACTGGCGCTATATGAGGATACACGATGTAGTAGTAAGTGAAAAGTAGGCCGCTGTATGGGTAAATCCCCGGCAAACCGAAAAGTAATATACTTGTGATGATGAGTACAGTATCGATGCGGGCCAACCCAATGAGGAGGTAGTTGATGCTGCAACGCATTTGAGGCCGAGATAGAATTATCATGGAGATGATGTTGCCCAAAATGCCCAAAATTCCAATAATGTTAAGTAAAAGACCGTTGATTATGAAACGGTAAAGTTTTAACGTTTCGATTTCTTCGTTAAGACAAGAATCGTAACTGTCGTTGGAAAAAAATGATTCGTTTTGGATGTTGGACATTTTTCAAATCGACAAGTCTAACGCATTATGTGCTTTATTCGGGTTTTATTACGAAATTGGGAGTGAGAGAGTTTGGATGCGAGGATTTCCAACATTCTTCCTCTTATTCCATTATCTGAAACAAGAGAGAATTTTTTACGAAATGGACTACAAAAACGAACAACAATTGCCATATTTAATTTTCAACAATAACACAGGGCGGCAAAAAAAAGTATGTGAGAAAGTGAGACAAATTAAATGCACTAAAAAAAATTAAAAAAGTCCACACACTTTGAACTAAATAATTTTTTTTCTAATTTAAATGAATACTTTAACTTTAAAAAATCATTACTCAATAACTATTATTCTTTCAAATAAAGACCATTTTAAAGGGATGGACTTGTCCTTTAGAATGATATGCAATTTGAAATTGAATATTGGCAAACTTTTCTTCGAACAGTGTTCGAAGAAGTTCCAAATAAATCGACGTAATCTAAGAAAAACCCTACGAGTAAGTTTTTTTTCTTCGTCACCATCGTGTAGAGCATTTTTTTATTAGTAAGAATCCAAATTTTTAAAATAATATACCGAGTAGTTTTTAAGATATGATTTTTTGAAGTTAAGGTTTGCTATTCAGGTATTGCGCCATCTTACTCAAAATTGCATTTTTAAAAGTATTTGTTTTAAGACTCTTCTTTTACTTTAAAATGGTCAATTGCACGTATTTTGTTTTAGTTAGAATAAATAAAAACTGTTTCTTTACTTAAAACAAACAAAGAGTACCTGCGTACTAATTAAAGCAAATAAAGAGTTTTTTTGTTCTAAAAATGATCACTGATTATTGAGCAAAAAGGATCTAGAAGTTTAAAGCAGTAGATTTAAATATAAGAACAAATCTTTTTCAAATTAAATCACTTTCCATTCAGATTCCAACTTGTTCACTTTGTTCTAACTTTCTAAACTTTTTTTTGAAAATGTTCTTAGGAAATGCTTTCTTATCACTTTCTACTGATGTTGAATGCAATAAGTCAGTTGCTTCGTGTGCAACTGTTATCACAACAACTACTACCTACAAGCTAACTGAAGCTAATCGTAGAATGAACCAACAGAAAAACATCATAAAAAAATCAGAAGAATTAAAAAGATACATGAGGTAATCAAGGAAAACAAGAAGAAGTTATAAGAAAATCAAAAGAATTCAGAAAAAAAATTAAGACAATACAGAGAAAATCATGAGAAAATCATTCATTTCGTAGAAGACTGGAAACTTGAAGCTGTAAAATGGATTTTTTAAATATAAATACGACCATTTCTCATTGCGGTATGTACAGCATTTCAAAAATCATCAAAAAATTTAAGAAATTTTTTGAAATAGTAAAAAGTTTTGAAGTTTTTGAGATAATAAGCTCAAACCTTATTCATGATGAAAATCATAAGAAAATAGGTAAACTAAAAGAAATCTTGAGAAAATCAAAGAATTTAGGAGAAATCAAAGGAAATCAGAGGAAATTTTGAAAAACTAGGAGAAATGTGTAGAAATCAAAAGACCAAGAAAAATAAAAGAAATTATGGGAAAATTAAAGGAAATCAGAAAAAAATAAGAGAAATTAGAGGATTATTTTGAAAATGTTCTGAGCAAATGCTTTTATATCACTTTCTAACGATATTGAATGCAATAAGTCAGTTGCATCGTGTGCAACTGTTATCACAACAACTACTACCTACAAGCTAACTGAAGCTAATCGTACCAACAAAATAAATCAGGTGACTTATTGCATTTAACATCACTCGAAAGTGATAAAAAATAATTTGTTCAGAACATTTTCAAAAAAAGTTCAGAAAGCTAGAACAAAGTGAACAAGTCGAAATCTGAATGGAAAGTGATTTGATTTGAAAAAGATTTGCCCTTATATTTAAGGCTCGTGCCTTAAACTTCTAGATCCTTTTTGCTCAATGATCAGTGGTCATTTTTACAACAAAAAACTCTTTATTTGCTTTAATTAGTACGCAGGTACTCTTTGTTTGTTTTAAGTAAAGAAACAGTTTTTATTTATTCTAACTAAAACAAAATACGTGCAATTGAACATTTTTAAGCAAAAGAAGAGTCTTAAAACAAATAATTTTATAAAAATGCAATTTTAAGTAAGATTAACATGCATGGAGCAATGCTTGATTAGCAAACCTTAACTTCAAAAAATCATATCTTGAAAACTACTCGGTATATTATTTTGAAAATTTGGATTACAACTAATAAAGAGATGCTTTACACGATGGTAATGATAAAGAATTACTCGTAGAGTTTTTCTTAGATTATTTCGATTTACTTCGAACACTGTTCTAAGAAAAGTTTGCCAATATTCAATTTCAAATTTTATATCATTCTAAAGGGCAAGGCCATCCCTTTAGAATGGTCTTTATTTGAAGGAAATCGGCCAAGTAAATATTGAGTAATGATTTTTTAAAGTTTTTTTTAAATTCATTTAAATTAGAAAAAAAATATTTAGTTCAAAGTGTGTGGACTTTTAAGTTTTTTTTAGTGCATTTGGTTTGTCTCACTGAGACGTGTAATCGCAAATTGAATTAAACTCTCTTATTTTTCGTTATGTTGTAGTATCTTTAGAAGAAAATTTAATTTCGCAAAGCTATGAATGGCAATAAAAGCACATTGTCTTTTTCATTATCACTATTAAAGCAGTGCTACCAAATTCTAATAAGTACGCAATTTATCCTTAATCCTTACCAAAGGTTAATTACTAAATTAAACTTTAAAAAAGTATGTTTATGCTAAATTAGCCAAGCTTAAAAAAACTATCAACTTGGCTCCAATGTTTCTTAAGTGGTGTAGTAACACAAGAACAAAGTGGTTTCGAGCGTGCTCAGGATAGATATTTGAAACACATCTCCATTAAACTTTGTCCTTTTCTCCTATCACATTGTTTTAGTGATATTTCTAAACTACCTCAGTAAATGATGATGATAAAAAAAGTTCGTCAATGTCCTCCACTCCGGTCAATATTAGCCGAGTGCGTATGCGTATCTATGTGGACAGATCCTATTCTTTTCTTTTCTTTTCTTTATATCTTTCTCTCGTGTGGTAAAAATCCCTAATATTAGGAAACTTAATTGAACAATTTGCTTATTGGCTCTAGTGAAAATCGCTCTTTTATTGATTCAGCGCAAACTTGGCAAACAATAAAATTAGATTAAATTAAGAAAACAGAATAAACAATAAAAAGTGTTGATGTTGATATTAATCTTTGTTAAGCTATAGAACAGGAACGGTTGCAGTTTCCTCTTGAGTGTAATTCTTCCGATTGCTTGAACAAACTTTTGTTTAGGTCAATTACAACAGCAGCTCAACACTACATTATCAAAAGATAACGTCGTTTATAACAATTTTATCAAATTGTACGGAACGTCTAATTACGGTCATTTGTCGAATTTCTCGCTTAATTAATCCAAGGAGAATCTTTCAAAAATGATGCCATTTTGGTTCCTTTCTGACGTAATTACCGGCAATTCAGATAAATAACGTCGTAAAACTCCTAATAATATTTCTAATTATTGAACAAACTTTTAGCTACTTTGTAAAACGATGGTTTCGGTGGTAAAGGTTGCAATAAACTGCAAACTAGACAATCTGTGACAGACACAGGATGTTGTCCTTTATTAAAGTTTCCCCATAAATCCAGCCACAAACTACATATTATAATCATCTTACTTTTTTTTTAATTAAAAGTTTAATTCTAGTAAAATAGTGTTTATGAATCTCAGTGTGGTCAAGCATTAGGTTATTTCCTCCAAATACAAGAGGGCAAACCTCGGTCGAGTAAACTCGAGGGATTACGGAAATACGTGTTGGTTCGTTACGCATCATGAATAGATTTGTCAACGAGCCAATGGCATATTAGTATTATTTATTGCTGTTTAAGCTACGGCTTTAAATTGGATTGTTCACAGAGCGAATCAAATTCATAAATTGAACATAAGTAACGATTTATTTGTAAGAAAAAAAATGGTAAAGCTTTAGAGCTTTCACCACTATTGTAGTAATTTTTTTTTGCTTACTGCTATCAAAAGCAAATCTTTGAAGGTAATTCCAAGTAGCGTCATCCATATGTATAATCAAGCAAACTTCTTCAAACTAAATTAATTCAAAGTTGTCGCTTCTTAACACAAGATAGTTGACTAGACTTTATAGGAAATTAGAAGTTGGCGTGGAAATAATATTTTACGAAAGCTTTGAAAAAATGACTTTAGAATTGTCTCACAATGTCATTGAATAAAGTCACAAGGTGTGTGGGCGATTTTACATTTTCTTGAATCTTGAAAAATAAAAATTGCATAAATTAAAACTTGACTATTCACGAACTCTGTTTCTCAACATTTACGAATTAGGTTAATAGATGCAAACCAAATTTCTGTTTTTCACTCATCTCGTGTACAGGGTGCTGCATTTTGGATATCCGAATTTTTTGAGAAAATAATATTGGTTAAAACCGCATCCCGCTATCGTCTTTTGTTTTCGACTTATAGACAAAAATTAACATTTTGGCGAAATCGAAAAAAATTTATATCTTCGTTATTATAGAAGATACGAATTTGAAATAAAGACATTATACAGGCCCTTTTTTACGAGGAATTTAATAATGTAGTTAACAATTTTTTTCAGTTATTAGTTTAGCAGTAATAAGATAAACTTGTATTTTTTTTAATGGAAATCATAGGCGGCTATGGCAATTTTGAAAAGCTTATTTTTTTCTGATCTAAAAAATATATATTTGTAACAAAATATTTTTTTATAAATATACTTAAAAAGTGAAATACATATTTTGTGTGATAATAATTGGCCATGGAAAAACTATTTCACTTCAAATGTGTAAATAATAATCAAGAGTTTTGTGAACTGTAAAATAGATGAAAAAATATATAAAATTATAAAGATTTAAAAAATACGATACGGTAAAAGCATTGAACAAATATCCGAGAGCCTCAGAACAAAATTATTACATATTTTTTAAAAAATCAAAAAATAGGAAAAACAAATGTGTCAA